CCCGTTGTAGGGGCCCCTGGCTTTACTAATCAAGCACTTTACAGGAGCACTTTATGGAAAAGATATGTTATATTCAAAAAATATTTTTTCAAAATTTATCTAAGTATTTAAAGATATTAATTGAACCATGATTTGAATAAAAAAAATATTAATGGAAAGCGCATTTTGTGAAAAAATTTTCCTCCGAAAGGTATCTATTTACCATACATTCGTTTGAAGTATCTAAATGTGGTTGAACACCTTTATATATCAGCAAAAAAATCGAGCTATATAAAGATATTTAATTTATTCAACACGCTAGTTTTTTTAATTAAACAAATAAATATTTTTAAAAAGTTGTTTATTTTAATTTTTTTAACGCATTTTTTTTTATTTAATGGAAAATGAAATGGTGATTTTAAAATTATTTTATATAATGCTTTTATTATTTTAAAAGTTTTAAAACCATTAATAAATATTTAGATAAAATTATAAAAAAAAATAATACATGATTGTGGGTTACATCCATTTTCATTAGGTTTAAGGATAAGGTATTCTTCTCGTTATTGCTCATGAATTGTTTTAGACTAGAAAAATCTTTTAGTTCTATTCTAAATCATATAATTCCTATTAAATAATAAAAGCATCATATGAAATAATTTTAAAATTACAATTTTATTTTCCATTAAATAAAAAAATATTAGTGCTGTAAACGTTACTACAAAAAAGAAACGCGTTACCGTTACTCGTTACATCTGAAAAAATGGAACGTGTTACCGTTACTCGTTACCATTTTACAAAAGGAAGCGTTACCGCCTTTTCAAAAAAGTAACGGGCTACTCGTTACTTAAAAAAATTAAATGTTATATATAATGCAAAAAAATATTTATTTTTTTCCGACAATATATAATAAAATAAAACTATACAAAAAGAACATATAAGATAAGATCTTTTTATATAAAATTTTCATAAAATAATATGAATAAAATTATACAAAAATAATATATCATAAGATAACATCTATATGTAACAAATTTTTATTTATTTTTAACAATTGATTTTCAAAATTTTGATCAGATAAACATGAGCGCTTAGTACTCAACACAGCTTTCGCCGTGCTAAACACACGTTCAATTGGCGCAGAGGATGGGAGAGTGGTGTTATATTTAATAAACAAAAATTTCAATCGGGGAATTAAGGAAATATCTTTATTTTGAAAAAAGCTTGAAAGATCATCTTCACAGAGATCTTCATTCATTTCCTCATCAAAAAAAATTTATCTTTATCTGAAAATATTCTAGTGTGTGTGTTGGATAAAGGAATCAAGCTTGTTCTTTCTTTATCAATATATTTTCTCAAACTGGAAATTAGTTCCAGCATTCTTCCTTTATTAACCTCTAATTTTATCCAAGGCAAATCCAATTTAAATAGTGGGTGAATTATTGCCGATAGTATATATTCATCATCATAGATATCTTTGAATCTATTGAGAATATGATAGTCAAAATATAAATTATCAGCAATATTTGAACTGTATACCTTATCTATGGCTTCCAGGATTGAATTAATAAGCGGCTTACAAAACTTAAAATTATTTAAAGCCAATTTTTTAAGTTTTGATATTATAATGATTATAGTGGGAGTGAGATATCCCAAATGCATATTTTCTTCGCTCTCTAAAATTGAAAGAGCCGTAGCTATCGAATACATGGTTAAATAATAAGATGCTATATAATAGTATTTTAATAATAATTTATAATGAAATTTTAATAATTTTTTTTTAAATCATTTCATGATTAAGTTTTTATATGTTTAAAATAATTATATATTAATTCATTCTTTAAGTCTGGGCTACTTGACATTGACGTTGAAATATTTGCGTTGGGACGTAATTTACATTTACAAAGTGTAGACTTTCTTAATTGGTTTAAAATATAATTCAAATTGGGGCCAGGGAAGGGTTAAATCTTCTTCATCTGAAGAAGTAAGTTCTATGGACATAATATTCTTTTAAAATAAATTAATTAATAATATCATTATATTTACTTTGAATTTTGATTGAATATTAATTTCGACTGATAATTTAACAACGAGAATTTAAAAAAAAATGTTGAAAGTGGTTGATATGAATTAAAACTCGGCTTAAATTATTAAGAATTAAAAAATAAAAAATAAATAAAAGTAATTTTATAATACAATAAAATATGTTTTTCTTTTTAATGATTTTTTAAGAAAAAATATAAAGTAACGAGTAAAGTAACGTTTTTGACGTTACTTCACAGCACTAAAAAATATGCTTAAAAAAATTTATTAAAAAAATAAACAACTTTTTTAAAATATTTATTTGTTAAAAATTAAAAAAAAACATGCTTGTTGAAATAAAAAAAATAAAATAACTTCATATAACACGTTTTTTTGCTGATATATAAAGGTGTTCAATATGGAGGATCCTATAGATTTTCCAAATGGGTAATTAACATTTCTTTTATCAACAGATTTTGTGGCAGATTAATATGTGGTCAATTTAGCTTAATTTTTGAGTGAATTATTGTTGCTAATATAATATGTTATTTTCATCATACAGTGAAGGAAATCTATATTAAGAAATGATAACTAATTTATTATTAAATAAATGTTCATTCATATATATCAGATAATTACTGTGCTGGCCCATTAAAATTTTACCAGATATCAATGGCTTAGTAGGCTTGGCCTGTTAAAAGTATTTTACTAAATTTGTCAAGATCATTGCAATTTTTTAATAAATTTTGCAGATCTCATAGAACCGTGGTTAGATATCCCTGGTCCATATTATCCACCCGTTGTAAGATATTTAATGATAATGTTCCATAACCTTATTATTTAAATTTTAGTTATTTAAATAAAAATATCAATATATTACTAATGCATATTTTTTGATAAAGAAACATTCCTAAATTGTGAACCCAATTTGATCACACTTCCCTACTACTGAAAATTTTTCAATCTTGTCCATTAATTTCATTGGCTGGAAGTAGGAGTTCCTTCGGGTCTTGTTGGGATCTATAAGGCATCTTCCCAATTTCTCAAATAGAATATCAGCCATGTTTGGGGACATATTTTGCTTGCTAATTAAAGCAAAACATTTAGAAAATGTTGATTTTGATATTCGCTTAAAATTGATATCATTTTCCTCCTTCTCCGTATGTGATTGCAATAAGGTTCAGATTATGACAACAACAACATTGATTAATTGGTAGGCGGATAGTTGGATGACTATCTTCTGCATTTTCTCCAAAAACTCTAGAAAAAAAATAAAATTTATTTTAAATAATTTTTTTGTTAAATATAAATATTATTTAAAGGCCTTGAGAAAGTTGGTGCCATTTTTGGTCATCATCTTCACCACCTTATTAATAATTTTATAAGTCTTATGAATATCCATAATTCCCTTAGTTAAAACATCATACGTTTGCTTTCCAAATATGCCTCTCAGTGCCAAAAATACTGATCTTCTCTTGGTTTAATGGGTCCAGCCAAGGGTAGTAACTCCGATAAAAGTTTTAAAATAAAACATTATAAAATTAATATAATATAATATACCTTTGATGGCCACTCCAGCAATCACCAGTACTGCTTACATATGAGACTTCAGACAAATCTCTTAAAGTCATATCTGTAAAGGTAATAGATATTTTGTTGCCCAGAATTTGATGACACATAATTTTTATAATTGGAGAAAATGTTTTAATCATTTTCTCAAATGAAGGATCATCAACCAGTGCCTTTCGTTGGAAGGTGTCACTAATAAATTCCATTAAAACTTCGGCAGCTGTTTTTTGTGCTATTGCTGGCATGTTTAGATTATAAAAATTTAATTTTGTTTATTTGGATTTGAAACCACTTTGGTTTTTCAGAGATTTAATTGTTTTTTGCAGAGAATTCATTTATGTGTTTGGCAATGTCATTTTTGAATTCACTATGTTTTCTCTTTATAAAAGAAAAATATAGTATTATTAATAAATGTGTTGACATTAATATTAACAAATATAAATAATAAAAGAAGTACTTCTAAATGCCTTTTGAGGTTTGAACTACTAACATTTGAAGACGATATGTTCTTCTTAAATAAAGGGCATATTGCGGTTATCATGGCATAGTTACTTCCATCCCTTTCATATAAAGCAAGATACTTACGTAGCTTATGAAAAGACAAAGGATTCTCATTTATATCTATCACATCAATAGTAGGTGTATTATCTTCTAAATCTATAATGGAAATTATTAAAATCTAGAATTAATTTATAATATATATAATTAAATATGAAACTTGAAGGCTTGTCTCGATAAAATTTATAAAATGTAAAATATGATGGAGGATGATAAAATATGATGTAAATAGATATTCTTTAAAAAAATAATAATTTAATTTAATTTGAAATTTTTTGCTTTTTAAATAAAAAATAAATTTTTAAAAGGATCGAGATCGAATATTAAACAAAATGATCTCGATCACGATCCTCAATTAGACAGGATCATACCGGGGAAATTGACAAATTTAGGATCGAATCCAGGATCGTAGATCTTTTGATCTCTATCCTTTAACAGCTCTGATGACACTTTACAGATTTGAAATGAAATGCTTCAGGTTTAGAACGGTAATGTAAATAGAAATAAAATCTCAAATAATATTTTATTGTTTAATGAAAAAATCTAACCCTTAGGCATTTAAAGTAATAAGTAAACTAACCAATAAATATATATAATATATATTGTATAAATATAAGTATATATATAAAATTATACTTCTAACCATAATATGAGATACAGTTATTAATTTTTTGAAAGAACAATCTTTTTTCCTTCACTAAACTTTGTAAAATGAGATATTATAGTAATTTGCACAAGAAAATAAAGTAAAATTAATATTTTTTATAATTTTTATAACTTCCAAAGTCTTAAAACTTATAAAATATTACTTTATTAAATTGTTTTTTATTTAAAAAAATATATAATTTTTACCATATTTAAAATATGATCAGAAAAGAAGATTGTGTAGGTCCTTCTATACTTGAAAGTTGGGAAGATCCAAATCATACCGGATACATCCATAGTCATTTCATGAATGACAAAGGGGAGATATATTTTAACGTTTCTTTCAAAGTAGTATACACAGATTATAGCACTTCAATATTATACACCTGTCATAAATTCGATTCTTCAGGTCAAATATGCTTGCCGGAATATACATTCGTATCTATAAATGCGTATATAAAAATTATTTTAATACTAAAAAGTTTTTAAAAAATTAAAAATAAGTTTTTCTTATATATTAAAAAAATATTATATTAACATAAAAACTTTATTAGGAGAAATAAAGATATACCTAAGTTAAAATGGTGTCAAATACTTAGTACGATCAAGTCTCACTTATGCGTCGATCCTAAAAAATTATACATTATTTCAAGAAGATATGACTGCAAACACAAATTAGAGTTAGAGAAGGGCATTGTTCGGTTTGAATCGAAGTCTCAATGGGCCGATAAAAGTGGCAATCGTGTCAAGAGATCCGTCGAGACAATGAAAATGATTCACAAAGAATGCTTAAATAATTATCAATAATGCGGCGAAATTGTTGCAAAATATTTTTTTATAATATAATAAATGTTAGAAACTTTAGAAATGTTGTCATATACTCAATCGGTGGCCAGTAATAATATATTTTATTTTACTATTTTTTCTAGAAATATCTGATATTATATTATATGATACATAATATAGCCCCAATTTCATTTATAAACCCGTTTATCATATATTATTCAGCAAGTATATATATTTATAGAAATGTAATAAATATCAGAGATCTTCAGGCCTGGAACGTGACGAATGGGCTAAAAAATGGTAAGATTTTAAGGGACAAGTTGATAAAAATAATAAATTCAAATTATATCCATTAATCAGTTTAAAAAACACATAATTGAGTGTTTAATATTATTTATAGTTCATATTTTCAATTTCCCTTTAAATCAATTTGCAAAATACATCCAAAATTATTAAAAATAATAAAATTTAAATAATCCAGGGCGGGCTAAAAAATATTTTAAAAATATTCCGGTTCGAAAATTAATGTTTTTTTTTAAATCCGAGCCGGGGGCCATGCTTGAATTTTCTTTCTCAAATCTGGGCTGGGCATAAAATTTTGATTTCTATAGGCCCCTGGCAAATATCGAAAGTTTTTTATAAAAATTTTTATATAATATTATATTGAAAAGGAAGAATTTGTTATTTTCTAACTATCAATGTAATAAGTAGAAATTTATTACATTATTGTAATCCACTATCTAACCTTTTTTTCATGACTATTTTATATCACCATGCAATTATAATGAATTTCTTATCTTTTTAATAGTAATTCTTATCATTTTTATGTACTTAACATTTCTTAGGCCAGGTGGGCGATCTTATTTTTGAACAGTAGTCGGTTTGGCCAGCTATATAGTTTCCTCTAGGACAGCCTAGAAAGGATGTAATTTAGTTTCGAACAAAGGCAGCGCCGTGCCGAGACTTTTTGTCGGCCCAGCCCAAGAAATTAATGACCCCTTAAAAAAACACAATATATCTAATCTTTTTTGATAATTTTTTGCAATGTGAACTCATGTGTAATACACATCATAAAAATGAATATAATCATAATAAAATATTGCAATTTTATTATCTTCCTCGCCTTTTTATATGAAAAAGAGGATATTATGTCAGGATAATTTAACGAATTTTCTATTCAAATTAAAGAGAGTAACAAGTCGGTCCTGTGCTATGCAGTTAATTAATTTGAGCGAGAAGCTGCGTTCTGCGAATGCTACCATAGTTATTGTTAAAGTAATCCTTAATACAAGGCTTTGTTTAACTTATTGGTGTTAATATAGCTTAAAATTTCAAAGTTTTTATGGGATGCTTGCTTAATATATTCACTAAAAATTTAATTCAATTACCATTTGCGGATTAACATCGCTTCCTAACGTATCCTAATCTGTGGATAAAATATTTAATTTCAACATCTTTCCTTTAGCTCTATTTCAGGCGCATTTATCAATTCTGGTATATTAAATAAGAATCTAAAATGATCTTTAAATTCTAGAAACGTTTCCAACAAATTTCTCACTTGATCTAGTAATGCATTGAAATATTCAATCCCATATTCTTTTTGAGGATCATGTATAGGCGCGTCATCTTCATAAGAATGGTTTCCAATTTTCTGTCTACGAATAATGTTATTGAAGGAAATCACTGTCCTTCTAAACTCATTTCCGATCCCTGCGCAAGCTTTTTCGCTGAGTTAAGATAATTCTAAAAGCCGTTTTCTTTAAAGTGATCTAAAATATCTTGCGTACTTTATATAAGTGTAATGACTTTCCAATTCAATATTGTCTTTTGCATAACCTTACTAAATTCAGCTGGGTTAATATATTAAACCAAAGAGTTATTAAAAATGAAATTTTTTTAATTCTTTAGCCAATGAAATGGCTTTTGTGCAGCATTTGAGATCATTAGTTTTTTGAATACGTCTATTAGTACATCGTAAATATTACCAATCTGATTTCTAATGGCCTTTACACTCTCCATCTTACATTCCCATCGCGTTTCAATAAACGAATGATAAAAAATGATTTTGCAAAATGATGATTGCCCATGTCACCAAATAGCAGGTTTAAGCTGTGACAATCACAAGGTATAAAAAACGCTCTCCGATCTATTTGTAATATTCTACCCTTTTATAACATCCTCTCATATTTGATCCATTATCGTAACCTTGCCCACGCAAATTTTTTTTACCTATAATCCCTATTTATTTAGATAATGATATAAATGTTTCTACCAAGGCCTAGCCAGTACTGGAATCGATTTTTAGAAAGCCAACAAATCCTTCATTTATTTTAACGGAGTTGTTCTTAAGTTCTACATATCGCTAAGGTTAATTGTTTCTGGTGGCTTATGTGGTGCGCGATCTAATGTTACGGAAAAATATATTGCGTTTTAAATACCATTGACAATTTTTTTTCCTACGATTTTATTTCCTATCAAGTTAATAATTTCATTTTAAATTATTTCCAAGGTAATGATTATCTACTTCACTATTCATAGTTTGAATAATGTGGTCGAATAATATTATATCAAATTTCGTTAAAAAAATCAAATTTCTTAACTAAAAAACAAATCAAAATAGAATGTCCTAGTTCATAATATGTTCATTTTGGGCTAAACATAAATAAGTTTAAATAAGAAGGACCAAGACACGACCTTAGAATTTAAAAGCATATTACATATTTTTATCATTTGATTAATTATACAATTTTTTTTATGATTAGAATAAGTTTTCCGGAATTTTCCCAGTTCGATCTTATTAAACAATTAAAGAGTTAAATCCTTAATTAGATAGAGCGTTGAATCTTTCTATAATTAATAAAAAAAATTTATCATATTGTGTTCATTACAACTTCGATTAAATAATTTTAAGTATGATCATTTCTAACGGCATAATTAAATTTGAAACAGAGGAAAAAGTTCAAAGAAACGATTGTAACATGATAATACTACGAAATCAGAATAACTAGAAAACGTTATTATTAATAATATATTAATAATTTTAAAAAAATAATTATATTTTTATTGAAAATATTATCTTTGTTCTTGTTATAATCGGGGGGTCAGTTCCTATCTTATTTTACTCGAGACTTTGTTTTAAATCTTCTTAACCTTAATATTCTTTTCTATCATATGTTTCCATTATAATACCTCTTTTCATTTACATTTTTTATTTATTTACTATGTCATTAATTTCTACTTAAATATTTCACTCCTCTTCTTTTCTTGGTTCAATATATTTTAGTTTATTCACAGCCAGAGTTGGGTTGATTTACACCACGTTCACTTCACTCCTGACCACAAGAAAATTAGCTGAATTTAAAGTTAAAAAGATCCGATCTTAGGTCATATTTATTTCCTATAAAATCCAATCAGCTACTGACTATTGCTTCGGAATATTAAGTTTCATTTTAATTTTTGGTGGTAGGGAACTCTGCGTCTAATATCAAATTTAAAAAATATATATTTAATATATTCATAGAAAATCAAGAATTTATTTACTTCTTAAAAACTTTCAAAAATTCCATATTTAATTTTGACAAATAAAATTTTAATAATATATTCCCTCTACTTTCTTTTGGGGGAGGGGTTTAAAGATTTTTCCCTAAATTACGTAAGCATGGGAGGATGTGGGCTAGAATAGATCTAAACGAGATCTCTAGGGTTAGATTTATATTTATTTTAATAAATAAAATGGATTGAATTTGCCAGATATCGGCCCGTGTTGTTAAAGTAGCGCGCTACTATAGCGAGCCACTTATTTCAGTAGGGGTATCTTTAGCACGCTACTTTAAAAAAAATATCGATAGCGGAGGCTCACTTCTAATTAAGAAAGTATAGCGCGCTACTTCCTTACTTTCAGTTTTATATAATAAATCACATAAAAATTATTAAAATATTTTTATAAATAATTCTAAAATCATCATCTTTTTATTTTATTTGATTATGAATCTGCATTATAAATCAAGTTTACAAAATAAATTAAAATCTTGACGATAGAGAATTTTGTTTACAGATCATATCGACAAAGTAATCCTGAAATGATAATAATATGGAATTTCCTCTTCCTGAATTCACAAAATATTTTAATCTAGATAAAAAAAATTAACACAGGGTATAAATTTCATTGTAAGATTTGCCGGAAGGCTATATCATCAAGCATGACTAGTAGCTTCAACGAGGAAACATTTTAGAGTAATATATCAAATTAATATCAATGTGCAGCCTAATCCCTAATCTTTAAAATAAAAATTGAATCAAAGCTGTATCTATAATTGATTTTGAGCGATGAGTTTATGTGAAAGTTTATTTTCTGGCCCAGTCCAAACCTGGTTTGTTTTAACTGTCCATATAAAATATATCAAGAGTTATATTATAAATTAAAAATTACTAAATAATTATTTTAAAATTTTATTTTATCATCAGACTCTTAATGATTATATTTTATAAATTATTATCTGGATGTTAGACATGCTTAAAATTAACCACACCAATTTTGAAGAAATTGGTCCAATAATAAAAAGCTAAAGGATAGTGGCCTGGAAAGTTAGCAAACATGGCCATCCACTTATCCCCTACATAATTTTTATTCTAACTATTACTATTATAATTTTAAACTGACCCTAGCAAGATCAAAACGCCACCTACTATAGATAACATTTTTGAAATAAATAATACTATTGAAAATCCTTTAGAAGCATTTTTATAAATCTAAAAATAATGAAATGAAAATTTTTGATGATTTTTCTTATATACAAAATATGAAATCATTGCATGCTAGTGCTGAACGATCATTTATAGCTTATACTTTCTGATTGTCGCTTTAGACTTAGGGATGATAATAGAATGTTATTTATTGTGATGGCAATAAATTAATTTTTTTTATTTAAAATTTTAGTCATATTTTTTATTTGTGTAAATAGAAATATCCTGTAAAAAATATTTAAAAAAAATTCTAAAGTAGCGAAGTAGCTAATAGCGAGCTACCTTTTTTTGTAAAATAGTGGTAGCGATATCGGGCTACTTTTAAAAGTAGCTTTTTACAACACTAATAGCTATAA